CCGATGTTTGACTTTTGTTGAACTTTTTGTGTTTAATTAATTTTATTAAAAAGAGCCGGTGAAACTTTTTGTAATTAAATAGACTTTAAAGAAAGAGTGAGTGAAAGAAAGAGATTGAAAGAGAAACAAATAAAAAAAAAGAAATTTATAATTTATTATACCGCAACAAATTATTCGATGCTTTTTTAGTTAACTTCAGGATATTTACACATGCTGAATCGGTCACTGCTCCACCAAACCCCAAAATTTTTTGATAGTTCTCTCTCCGGCTGATGATAATTCTTCCTAATAAAAATATAAAGTATTTTTTTAAGAGGTTTAAATCATATTTGCATGCAAAACATTCTATACTAATTAATGTTTTATTACTTGCAAGAAATATATTTATAAATTTTTACCGTCGACATTGTCTCTTAATAGATCTTTTCTAAATATGCCGTTCGACATATAAAATCGTAAGCCACTTCTGCTCGAAGTTATGAGAGCATATCTCGCAGAAGTGAAGAATGGTTTGGTCGCGTCTGGAGCTTCATCGCAGTACGTTGCATTGCAAACGCAATAATGTCCATCGTCCTGTCCTGTCTCTTGCGATGGGCGTCTAACGCACTCATTCAATGCCGCAACTACGTTTAATAAAAATTATAACATATTTATTTATTTGTTCTATATCAATTTGTTGAATTAAAAAGTATGAATGATTATAAATTTAAAAGGAAAGACTTAAAGATTCTGTAGTCTAAGCAGTGGACAATCGAACAAATTTAATGCAGTATATTTTGGACGTTTTGATCAAATTTTAATTCCTAAATATATTTAGCAATTAGCATGACAAGACCGTTCATCACGGAGACCGTTTAATGTACGTTGGCAAATACGAGCTAAAACAAGTGATAACGGAGACATACAAACAACAATTTTAATTACTGAATATTTTCAGCACCTAACTTGACAAGTCATCAGAGATTGTTTAATGCGCGTCGGCAAGTACAACGAGTCAAAACAACCGATAACTCAGATATACAAATAATAAAGTATGATGTTTACTAATCGAAAGTTCTTAACTGCAAGATTAAAATCCGAATTGAACTATCACTATATTCGTCAACACACAAAGAAACGGAACAAAGAATGATCATCTTACATAACAGAATACACATATTTTTGAGTAATTATAATTATGTCACCGCTATTAAATTTTAAAACGAAAAAGTGCAATGTATATGAGCAAGTAAACCAGTTTTTTTTACATATTTTTACATGTATTGTATATATTGTCTTACATATCTGTTACATGAATAGTACATGAATGAGGTTTACAATGCTAGATTACGTAAAGATAAAAAACGTAATAAATTTTGAAAGTTAAATAAGCCAAGATATAAGTTTTACGTCGTTGTTTCGCTTTTATAACTTGTTAAAACAGCATGCGTCATGAACTACAAACTTAAATTTTTTGTGATTAACCATTTATGTTAATTGTTCGAAATTTATTTCTAGACACATTGGTTTGGATTGAATCTCGCTTTATGTAAAAAGTAACCTCCAACGCAAAGCAAAGTTCAATTCATACTTATGTATCTAGTTGTTTGAATAGTGGAGCTTCCTGTAGGATGAGCGGAACACACTGTTTCCACGAGAAACGAGGTTCAAGATGGATTTATAATTGACTAAAAATTTTTAACTCTGTTAAATTTTGCAAACTAATTATTTTTCGACAAAAATTTATCCAACAAGACATAGTAGTCACTCGTTAAAGAAAATACTACAAGGTCATTTCAGTATAGAAAAGTAAACAAAGACGAAAATCGACTATTTATATCCGTAGTAATTAATGATTTGCAAATAGACACATAACATATCGCGTCACATAAGCTGCGTAGTCGCCGCGGAAGAAAAATAATAAACAAGCGACGAGCCGACGTTCTCTTGTATACATTGCAACGGAACACGAAAGGTTAGATTCAGTGCAAAATTAGCTCAATTTTTTGGCGTAATTCTCGAAAACTAAGCTCAAACAGTGGTTATATGTAAAGGAAAAAGTTGTCCAATATCTTGTCTTTTTTTACATATTAAAACATCATCGACATCGGGAGAACCGTTGGACATAATTATAAAGGATGTTGATGTTGTTTTGAATCAGGTTCTTTAACGGAATTAAAAATCTCTTGGTTTTGATCGGGAAAGTTTGAACCGTTGTGCAGGGTGTTGTGCAAATAATTTGAAAGCAATATCATTTATCCAAACGTTTCGGTTTTTATTTCAAACCTTCTTCAGTGGATTACTTTAGTGGAACAATCCCTCCTGATTTTCAATGACGAAGTGTAAATTAAAAGTTAAATTAGTCGTTATTAATGTTTTAAAATGGAAATTAACACACACAACGACTATTTTCCATTTTAAAACATTGATACCGATTAATTTAACTTTTAATTTACACTTTGTCATTGAAAATCAGGAAGGATTGTTCTACTAAAATAATCGACTGAAGGTTTAAAATAAAAACCGAAACGTTTAAATAAATGATATTACTTTCAAATTATTTGCACAACATCCTGCACAACGGTTTAAACTTGCTCGATCAAAATCAAGAGATTTAAAATTATAAAGATTTTACGAGTTTCACTTTTCTTTTATATAGTGAGGAAGTACATAATTTTTTCGAGTTCCCTCGATTGATTCCTCATTAGACTGACAAAATAAAGCGATTTTCAAAAAAACTGCATTGAAATAGCCAAAATTGAGAAAAGTAGCTAAACTGCATAATTTCCAAAAAACTTACCTCGGAATAACAATTTTAAATCGGAAAAGTCGTATGTACCAAAAATGTCTAAATAAACGTTAAACAATTTTTCATATTACATAATTCAATCACTTATAAACAGATTGTTAAATAGATCACTTAAATAAATATAAATAAATATAATAAATTATTTATAAATAAATTTTAACAAATATACTATAAAATACTATATTAAACTATATTATACTATATTATACTATAAATTCTATTATATTATAAAACAAAGAATAATTATCACCTGCTATTGACAACGTAACGACGAATGCAGCAACGCATCGCATACTGAATTGTTGAAAACAAAACAGGTTATGCCTATAAAAGCTAATTTCACATATGCACACACACGCAACTGGTTTACGTAAAGAAACTAATGAAAAGATATTAGTACAACATGTAAATAAATATTTTAAAGCACTATATACTGTGAAAA